AAATTGAATACTCGCGCGACCAAATCAGGGCGATCAGATGCAGTTTGGCCGTCGTATAGATTAGAAACAATCTCAGGCCTCGCGGGGTTGCATGTAAAAGTTATGAATAAATCAGGTTTCCCGTACTTGGCGACAATACTCATCGCGTCCTGATATTGTGCCACCATATATCGCGGGCCGCCGGTGAATGAAGCGGCCAAAATAACTCTGCGACCGGGTGGACCATCTGAATCGTCGCTCAGCATATAGTCCTGGAGACCCTGGACAGTGTCGAGTCGGAGTTGATGTTGATTTTGCCTGATGAAGTTCAAGCGATTCATCTCAATCTTCAACCAACTATCGACTATGAACTGCTGCAAGAGTTTTCCAGCATAGTGCAACGGATTGAATTGGCGGTCCCGAGTGAAGAGAACGAATGAGTAATACTGTTTTTGGGTAACTCGGGCTCGTCTCGGCGATGCGTACTCTGTGCGTTCCATTTCTGGATGCCATTGTGTCCACCGGAGGGAGAGCACGGATATGTAAGCGGATCGCACAGCTTATCAAGGTGGCTGATGATTTAAGGTTACCGGTTTGCGTCATCAGTTACCAAAAAACGGTCTCCCGGAATCGATTCCTCATCCCCAACGTAAACAATGGCAACTTCATTGGCGGTCGCGAAATTATAGCGACGATGATCGTCAGTGTTGTTCTGCTCAAACACCATCCGCACCGGCCTAGAGGTTCGACCCTGTTCTTGAGCGTTCCGCGATTCTTCATCGGCGACCTGAGCCATGAGTCGGAACGCTCGTACGTATGGGTTGGAGTCGTTTAACATATTATGGAGAGTTCTGAAAGTACTCTCAACACAATTTCGGTTGACATCGCGTCCGGACAGTTCTTGAGCCGCCTCGTTCGTGTCCATAATCAAGACCTGAGCGCATTGAGGAGGATCGCCGTCTCGTGGTTGCAGATCTCCGATAGTATGATATACCTGGCCATGCACCCGAAAGCAATAGGGGCCAAATCCTTGCGGGGTCACTACGTCTGCGGTCATAGAAGCCATAGCTAGAGCATTATTATAATTTCTGATGAATTTTCGGAAGCTTTTCGAATCATCATCCTGGTTCAAATACAGAGAACGCAATGTCTCGGGGAAGGGTTCGAACAGCGGGAGTGCAACCGTATTCTTCGCGCAGCACATCATGTATGGCGTCCGTCCAGGAGTTGTTTTCTCGTCTCTGAAGTGCGCAGCTCCGCATACGTTGCAAGAGTCATCCATGTTTCCTAGATGATGAGCGCTCGAGGGACGCCTCTGATAATCGCGAGCTATGCCTACTGAAGTACGGAGATTGCGACCTGTCTGTAAAGCCCGGACCCCACTGCGATACGCTGCGTCTTCGGCACTCCTCAAGTCAAGCTCTGACTGCGTCATGTTGGAACGCATTGCGGATTGTCGCGTAGCATCTCGATCGCGTGAGTCTTCTATCTGTGGTAGAGACTCCTGCGATCGGAGTCTACGATGTCGCGCGGAATCAGCGGCACGCACGTTTTCCGCTCGAACTTGACAACGATCAGCCCGGAGTCGCCGTTGTTGGACCAAATTCAATGCCCGCGAGTGGGCGACTTCTGCCTGAGTTCGATCAGCCCGCTGCCGACGCATCCGCTCCGCCGCTTGTTCACGTCGAGAACGCTGACCTCGTCGGGAACGCCGGAATCTCGGCATGAGTAAACGAAAAATGATAGAATACGACGAATAAGAATTTTACGAAAACGACAGATATAGGGAAAATTCACGATAAGCACGTATTATAGGAAGACAGGAGAACGATCACGATCACGATACAACGATAGTTCACAGATGAACACGCATTCGAAGTGATCGATCGGACTGTTGAAATTCGTTGGTGGAAGTTGACGGATATCGGTGTTTTCAAATATTGGAATCGAGAGTGAGAATCCAAAATACACAGGATGGTAGGATTCATCATTTATTCGTGCATGCAGAAGTCAGGGAGCCGTCTTCGTGATTAGATAAGCCTGGGGAGCCCGGCCTACGGCCGGAAACTCGTCGGGGACGTTCAGTCCGTCGCGGACGTCTGAGCTTTGGCATGAACGAATCCGGAAATTCTCTAACACTCCTGAACACTCCCGAACAGCGTAAATTTGAGAAGCCCGCCTTGAGCCTCGAGTGCGGCGGTTCTCCGCCATCTTGAATGACGTCATGTGAAAGCCACAACGCATACGGAGGAAAAACTTGGAGCTCCGTGCGTTTTTCCGAGGAACGGCCCGCAGGAATGGTGGGAAATTCACATGGGCAAAGGACGAAGGAGTTCCGTATCGATTGCGCGCATAATCAGACGGGAATCATGGCGCGAAGCAGTAGATAAGGTGCGAACTGACAGACAGGCAGACATTGCGCTTTTATTAGTAGGGGGGGGGATAGGGGGGGATAGAAATAGAAATAGAAAGAGAAGATATGGCAAAAGCCGACAACCTCCGACAGCAGAAGCTTAGCGGTAATTCTGATCACTTTTCCACCCGCGGAAATTGCGGTCAGCTATTCGGAAGCGGACGTGCTGAGCTGTCTGTTCAGCGGTCGCGAACATTGTTCCATTGGGCTATCTGATTGGGGGGAATTTGACGAATTCGACGCGACATCGAGCGCTAAAGTCTGATACTTCCGTCAGCCTTCACCTCCTCGTCGGAAAATTCTCGTGGCCTCCCCGAATGAAGAATTCTCCCCCGCTGTTCGCTCTCTCCCTCTGAATACGGTCGCCCTGTCGACGGGACGTCAAAGCTCCATCTCAATTCACGAGCCCCCCTTCTGCCAACGAGCGTCACGACTAAGGTCTCCTGAGTATGGACCCTACGGACGTACCGCATTCATGAAAACGCAGTCTGTAGGTTCTGATTGCCGCGCTGCCGCACGAATAGCCTCGGTAAGTCTCCTGAGCGAACGGAGAAACTCGAAATGGGGAAACGCGGTCGGGGTCAGTGATTGGAGGCTTCTTTGACAGCTGCGGAATACATCCGGGGACTCTTTGGAGGAATCGTAGGGAAGGGCTTCTTAGAGAAGCGTCACCACCGTTGTGTTAATGAGCGGCGACCGGGGCATCCCGAAAGTTCCCTCGTGTTCTACAGTATCGATTCCCGACTTTTATTTCGGACGAGTAAGTCAAGGTACTGTTGTATACCAGGTAGAGCAGCCGGCCCCATTTTCTTGCTGATGGGACCAGTCTTCGCTATGGTATTGCACAGGCCGGTTTGGGAGTGTTGATAGATGGATGGGCATGCCGCTTAACTCGAATGATTCACGGTGGCGAATCTATTCCTCGTGGAATAAAGCCGCGATATCTATATCTATCTGTCTGTCACCGAGCCAACTTGCAACGCTCGTCTTCCCCGCATAGACTCCGAACTCCTTTCAATCGTTCCCCAATTATTCCTCTCAGGTCGTAAGTCGTGATATACCTGTCAAGCTGCTCAGACGCATGCTTCCTGCAAGATTCACGTGTTTCTACAGTTATCGTGATTTTTTTCTGTGAAAGTCGTTGCCGCCGGAGTAGATCATAGACTCCCAGGGTGCATAGGTGATGGAAACGGGGAACCGGAAAGCAGGAAAACGAGGAAACAAAGGCGCGGAAAAACGGGGAACTCGGACGTGGGTTATAGATTTCCGGGGTACATATGGGGGCACGGGAGCGCGGGAAAATTAGGAAACAGGGCGACGAGGAGCGGGAAAATTGAGAATCAGGGGCATGAGACCCGGGAAAATCGTAAAATAGGGAAACCGAGGAGGTGGGGAAACGAGAATCCAGGGAGCACGGCAAATAATAGGCAGCGGCAAAACGGGGAAACTGGGAAACTGGATAAGCGGAGAACAGAAGTACAAGGGCCCGGGGGAGCGGGAACACGGCATGGGTGTAGTTGGGAAAGAGGGACACGGGACGAAGATATACCGAGGAACAGGATGAGAACGGGGGAAAAGAAAAGAAGGAAAGAAAGGGGAATCATCACTACAAGAGAAGGGAGAACGCAAGGCACACACTGACAGCAAACCATCTCGTAGCGCGCACTCATGGCGAGCTCTTCCGGAGGCAGCGCACCTGGAGCAAGCGCAGGTGTAGCCAGTCGAGCGCTCCAGAGTCGCCGCTTCGCGGGAATGAGAACCGGGACTGCTAGTGAGGTCATGCCGACGAAGAACCCGCTGAGCGATGAGTGATGAGCCCTAGACTCCTACCGTAAGTCGTAAGTCTACGGTTGGGTTCGAATCGGAGGATTTCGACTTCGTCTGCAGGAATCGCGCGACCGAGTTGTTGAGCTCGTGCCCGGGACGGCGTTGGTACTTTGTTTCAATTTGGAACTCGGGCGAATTTTATCGCCACGCCTCCCCTCATTCATTCTACCCGAAACGTGGTCACCCGGAGGGGGTAGAACCATTGCGACGGAAACACGTCGTTACAGGACTATAAAGAGACCGTGTGCTGCAAGCAAGACCACTAACCGTCACGACCGGCTAGACTACCGCCGTTTTCGCGTGCGTTGGCCCGACGAACAGGATGCACGTTCGCTCATTTTAACCTGAACCCTGTTCACACTAACTAGGTAATTAAAGTGTCGAAGCTTATTTCTGAGGGCTGCACGCGTCATGCGGTCAACGCGTGGTTTGCACAAATTATATGTGCAAGTCTCAGGCTGGAGCTCCCCCAGGTCGGGGAGGTACTCGACGTACCATTCTGGTCGGTCGAGGTCACATGTGGTCTCTTCAATGAATCTCGATCGCCCAAGTGAGCCCGCGACAACCGCGCCCGTCGATTTATGTCATTCTATTTAAATCTCAATCAGTACGCTCTCGACCGACGTCTGTCTCTCGTCCCGACATCGGGTCGAATCAAAGCGGAGCAATCAGTGAGAAACGAGAATCGTGACGCAATTTAACATGAATCCTCATCCAGGGAAGCTGACCCGATCGATCCGTGAATGATCCGTGAATAAAATGCTTCCCACGATTTGATTTCATCTCAGTGATTGTCATTCGACGGCGGGAAGATGTTTCTGAAATTCGGGCTCGTATTCCTGACTGTGGCCATACAAACGAGCTGTTCGCGTGAGTATCGATTCTTCGCTGCGGTCGTTAGGTGATCCAGTGCAGCATCAATCAACCCATGCTTCTGTTAAGGAAACTCTTTAACAGATTAGAATGGCTGTTCCCCGCTTGGTTCTAAGGATATATCCTATCCCTAGAATTCAGCGCGAACTTCGACGTTCCGCAAGGTCTCGGGTTCAACTTCAACAGCGACACCGACAACAGCAACAACAACAACAACTTTTTCGCAGGTGAGTTCTACACCGAGTCGCTCAGCACGTTTGGAGCATTCGAAGTTTCAGAGTAATCACTCCGTCGTCGAGCACGTTTTCCTCGCGGGCCGTATAGCATATCGGTCCGTGGAACTTTCACCATACCTGACCGTGCGCTAATCACGAATACACCGCGAGGGGTTGTTCCTCTCAACAAGATCCAATTTTCGGATTGGATGTCTCCGAGCCGCTGATCGAGTGGAATCTTCCGCTGACTCACTGGAATGAACTCCGGAGGGCTCCTCGGAAGTCCTCGAGGTGGCTGGCTTAGTTTCGGCGCATCACTTCGTTTCCGCTCAGAGTAAAGAAAAAAAAACTGCGCACCCGAGACGGCCCATGAGCTCACCGACAGGGATCGTCCCCGACTCGGCCGCTGCTCCCGAGGATTTCTGCCTAAATGTATCGTGCCTCAATTCTTCAGGGATACCGAACCTTTTCGGAAGAGCCCTCTCGAGCGGCTTCAACCTGAACCTTAATCGTAAGGGGCAGCCGAGAACGCCGAGCTCGGGTTTTAGGTTCAATATGAATCTTCCGTCAGGATCATCCAAGACAGGGAATAGCAACTCTTTCCGAATCGGATTCGGTAACGAAGTCGAGAACTACGCGTCGTCAAACAGCTCATTTATCGACACAACGGAAAAACCAAGTGACGAACGGATCTCTCTCTCGTCCATGGGCTCGGAGCTCCCGGGGCTTTTGACTCCACGGAGAAACCTCATATCGACGACCGCTCTGAGGGGACCCGCGTTCGAATCCGGATACATGTCGAGTCAGCTCGGCCCTTTGGAAACAGCAAGCGTTGGGCGGAAGATCAATTTCGGTTCCGACACGAACTTGTCGTTCGATAGTCGACTGAGACAGCAGGGTCTGACTGCAGCTTCGAATGCGCAGAGACTCTCGGCGGGCGGGAGCAACAGTTTGAATCTTTCGAAGGGTGTGAGCCGAATTTTGGTGAACACGGACGTGGAGCCCGCGGAGCACGGGGTCGTCGAATATTCACGTAGGTGGCTCATTCGAGTCTGATCTAATATTCAGCTAATTTGATACCTACCGGGTTTTTCCTGCGCTCGACAACCGTTGAATAGGAATAATCAAAATGAACGTTTCGTTCAAGGTCAAACGATTGTGATAACGCAGAAACCGAGTATAATCACGGTTCACCACTCGCAGCAGAAGCTTCCAAGCATTCAGGAATTCACAAAAACGGGCTGAGAGATGTCAGTTTTTCAAGAACGATCCGACAATTGAAGCGGTTTCTACTCTCGGGCCTACCGAGCTCGATGAGAACGTTCACAGTATAAGTCGGAGAACCGTAGCTCCAAGCAATCGATCGGGCATCTCTGAGCAATTTCATCGGAGAGAAAAAAAATAAAATCAGTCTACTTGTTCGTAATAAAGCAAAAATCTTCTCTGGAAGTCTTCAGACCATCACTGAAGATCTATGCCTCCTAATCATTCCTGGACTTCCCCGCCGGGTTTTCCCCATTACATTTCCCTCGTTGACATCAAGCTAGGTCAAAGATGAGGGAAGGACGCTAGCATCAACCCCCGAGATCGATCGAGATCCCCTCTCGGAAACATTCTGTCGAATCTGAGGTCCATTTTGTTTTACAGAGAAACCGGAGAAGGAATCTGACAAAAGTGAGTCCCGGTACCGCATCTCCCTTCCGCACTTATTTTCTGATCTTGTTATCGACGGATTCCAGTCCATGAAGCAGGAGTTTCGAGGTCAATCTCCAGGCGGAGCCCCTAAAACGGTTTGGGTCGCTGATGACTTGTCTGAAGTAAAATTAACAATGAACGACACTTTCTACAGAGTTCCGCTTCAAGCCAGTGACAGCCGTTCTCAAAAAACGTGAGTAAGAAATCATAGACAACTCCATGCCCGGCGTTCGGTTCGAAAGCCTCCTTTGATCACTGTCCGATCCGGGGTCATCTATGTCATAATGCTCTCATTCACGTGGAAATCAATTATGCAAACGCCATAAACCACCTATAACTCCCTTGCCCCGTAGGTCTACACAAAATCCAAATCCGTAAGTCTCTATGCGGAACGATTGGTTAAAGAGATGAGAAGGCGATGTCGGCGATACATCATTTTACTTGTATCATTCTGATCATTCCTGAATCATTCCCGTGACAGCGGTCTACAACGGTTACGACGATGGCGCGTCTTGCGACGCAAAATCCCCATTTTTGTTGCTCCACACCGAAGATCTGGGCGATGGTAGAACCAGATATTTCCATTGTATCGACGGCTCTATGAAAGGAGTCGTCTGTCCATCGGATAAACCTGCCCTGCAGGACATTTGCAACGGTTACGACAAGCATTGTGAGTACTGCTGTTCCGCACAGATAGAGGAATTTATTTAACACCCTCTCAGAGTGTCGCTCGGCGGATATCATACATATTTCCGGCGCTGCACGACGAGGAGCATTGACTGCGATGGGCAACACCTCCGTTATAACAACGTAATTAATTTCGGCTCGCAGGCTGGCGTTATCTCGCTTTCGACGCGAGCATCGACCCGAAACAGATTGCTGACAACGCGTATCAATACTATCGTTGCCTCGGAAAAATTTGACGCGACGGACACCGGGTCTGAGCCCGACTCCCTCCGTCTGGATGTGTCCCTCCGTCGAGTATTGTCGAATAAACTTCGTGAGTTCCCGAGCGTCTGCTCACTGTGGGGTGGTTCCCGGCGAGACAAGCTCCCAACGGCTAGATGGCATCAGTTTTACGGAATTTTCCGCAGAAGGGAAGTCTGACAACACTCCTGTATATAAACTTCCTTCCGACTGACCGGCAAAAAGCGGTGGACGGTTGCACAGACTGGCCAGTTCGCCAGCCAACTGAAGGACTCTTTGTCATTCTCAAGAAACGCGGGTGTCAACCCCAGACATCACTTTATTGGGGTCCATGAAGTTGGAACGCAAATTGTTCGACTCCATTGTCAGTCCAGACGAACGGCTCTCGCGCACTCGGGAACACCTGCCTCCAGTAATTGTTCGTTTTCATTTTGACTCCTTCCTTTTATCTTCGCTTTTGTCTGCGAGAGCTGACTTCGTCTCCCGTGAAGTCATTAGAAGGGAATCCAATGCACCCGAGAAGAGCTAGAACGCTCTCCAACGCCCCGGCTGGGGGAAGAAACAAAACTCGAACCGACTGAATTATCTCAAGTAGCGACTCCCTATTCCTCCGGTCACCGAGTTGTCCCTGGAAAAGTCGTACTGAGTAAGCTCGGAGAAATTAATTCTCCTCGCCCATAAGGATTACGACTTGCGACCATCTTAGTAGATGTGGATGGCGTCTGTTGTCCAAAATGACCACGAGCCATAAAGCTCTCGGAACGACGCCGTTGTTGCAAGGCGTTCCCAGCCAGCGTGCGGGAATTTTCTTCAAGGAACAGATGCTTACTTTTCTGACGAAACATGAGTGAAATGTGGACGCTCGGCTTACGCCACGGAAGTTATGACGACATCCTCTCAAGCTAATAAGCTCCGAGAGCTTTCTGAAAAACGGGCATCGCCTTCATTTGTTCCTCAAACTGGACGGGATGCATTCTTTACCAGGGCGTGTTGTCCGTCCATCCATCCATGCACCCATCATCGTCCAATTTACGGAATTCCCGGAAAGCCTCGGCTCACGGAGTATACTCAAAGCTTCAGGGGATATATCTGAACCCTAGTTCCTTTCGATCGAGCCCCCGCGTTTGGCGGAACGGGTGCAAACGATATGATCGACTGCTTTGCGCATGCGATAGATAAGAGAACATTCACGGCGAGCTTCGCGGTGATTTGGATATTTTCCGACCAGAATGTCCACGGGCTGGAGCCAGCGCGGACAGACCCAATAGGAGCGATTTGCGGGCCCATGTGGAAACGCGGTGGATCTACAGAGTAGTGATGTAGGGTGTACACGCACGTGCCTTATCGGCTGTTACTTCGGCCGAGACGAGAGAAACGACAAATCTGGCTTTATTACATCTGTTTCTATTACGTCCGCGGAGACCGTATTGCTTACTTTCCTCGTTGGTTTGTATACAAGGGTTTCCTGCCGCTTTCGAGGTGGACGAAATGATTTCTAGGTGGACCATGAAGCAAGACCGATTGTGAGATCCATGGTCAAACACGCAACGAATCCGAGGACTTCTACCAAGGGCCGCGTAATACTGATTCAAGTGAATTCGATCCGGTGCACGGTAGTCCGTGAGATGAGATATTCCACCAAACGAGGTGGCATACCTGAGAACAGTCGAGTGCTCGGAAGGCAGCCGACAATTGCGTATGGGCATTTCCTATCTTTGGAGGAAAATTGTCGGGTTGTATCCCCGAAGATTCTCATCATTCTGGGAACGGAAGGATGAGCATGCGGAACATCTCAGAACGATAAGATTAGACGATGTGACTCCTAATTTACTGCCGAACTCTCTTTATAAGGGGCCTTTCCGAAAGTCAAGGTCTCTTATACAGGAGGTTCTTAACATGGGGTCCCTCGAGGATGGGAGCAGGAATAAGACTCTTGCATGCCGGATTCTTTTATTACATAAGCGAGTCTCTCGCGTGCGACGTTCCTAGCGAGGGATCCTATGTGTTGGCGAATCGAAATAAGTATCTTATTTGCGAGTTTACTCCATCTGCGTATCTCTTCTAGATGGCTCCGACCGTGCAAGCGAACAACGCTCCGCTGTAACAAGCTCCAGCTGTGGCTCGAATGAGGTCACAAGGAAAACTACTCGACGTCCATCAACGTTTCGAATGGATTAGTTTCACCGAAATAACTCCGGAATCCGCTCGGCTTGCAACGAGTAACATGGCCGAGAAGATCGACATCGCCTATCGGAACCCTTTCTGAGAGTCAAATATTCCTTCGCAGTATCGATACGCCTTCGATGTTGTTCTCATCTTCACTCTCCGGAGGGAGGAATATGTGTTACCCTCTTCGGATGTCGGCCATATCGTAAGCCTTTGATCTTTCCTGCGTCGTGTATCCATGAGTGGATCACCACTCCCCATGAACCGCATCATAACTTGAGGCGTAGAAGTCGAAGCGGACTAGCGCGGGGCTTTCAAGTTTCCGAATCGGCACCGAAACGATTTCCGGCTTCAGAAAACCCCGCCTGCTCGCATTCCGCATATACCTCCAAGATTCTCATGTCATTAGATCGAACGTCATCGTACCGTCATACATATTCCAGTATGAGAGGGAGACGGCCGCCTGAGAACGAAGTCCCCTGATCACATGTAATGACGAGCTCGTCAAAGCCGGGGCCCGTTTTCGGCGCAGACATCAGATCGATGGGCCAGAGTTAGCGTAGTACAAGCAAGCATCGCAAACTCTCCGTATTCTATTTTCGGACATTGGACACTCGTGAGGGATAGTCGAGGCGGAGGGGGCCAAGCGAGTCGACTCGCCCAGGAGCTTCTTGACGCAGCAGGAAAAAAAGAGGTTTCTGAGAGCCACTTATGTAGAGAGTCGGGTTCGCACCGGAAAACCCCTGATTTGTTTCTCACAAGTGTGACATTCCCCCGACAAGACCTGAGTGGACGGCTTTAGCGCCAGAGCGTCGTTAATGAACGATGAACAGCGACTCATCTCCGCTCACAGAGAGAGTACAGTGATGTATACGTCCCACAGAGTCCTCAGGGAAAACATGGGAATGATACACTGCCGAACACAGAACCGTCCGCTTCCTAATCGTCTGGATCAAACAGGGAGAACGAGTTTGTGTGCCTAGATCATTCCCCGGAGGAAAGGGAACGGTCAGCTGGATTCTGATGCCTAGGGGAAGAATGACGAAGAACCGTCTCGGTTTTTCGGAATTTCTCCCCGACCCTCCCTCGCTGAACGTCCGCGCAGAAGACAAGATTTATGCTTGTTCCATCCACGGACTCGCTTTCGGAAAATCATGGAGACCATCAATTACGGAGCGCTCTCTAGGATCTCCCGATCCGGCTAAACCCGTCGCGGAGCTCTTCCGGCAATATGACGCTGCCGAAACCGAATGGGATTAGCGTGATTCAAGGCAGCGATGCGGACTTTATCAGTAGAGGCGGGGTATCAGCCGGCCATCGCGTAGAACAACATCCTGATCGATGTTTGCGGAATAGCGACAGCGGACTCTCATCACGATCTCTAATAAGTCGCCTCATGGCCAATAAACGGAACTTCCGAGGTCCATAGGGGGTAGTTTTGTTGCACACGTTCTATCCGATGTGGGCAGGAAACTGGGGACGCTCTGTTCTGAGCGCTGCGATCCGGGAACCCATAGACTGGGCGAAGCCAGGAGTATCGAGCTCCCCCGGACCTACAGCTCGAGCTCGATTCCTATGAGTCAGGATTGAATTACTACTTGCCGAATGGAAACGACCGCAAACGGCTGCGAATCGGAGACACCGAGCCAGAATGCGACTCCGAGAACGGGAACCCATGCAGTGCCGGGATTCCGCCCTCCGTCGGTTCCGTCCGCGCAGACTATTTAGGGCCTCTCTGTAGAAGGATCGCGTGGATAATAATCGGCATGATCATTATTCTAATCCCAGAATACGGAGTCCGGGAAGCAGGCTGAGCGATCAATTTTCGTGTCATTACTTTCGCGTTGATTCGACCACCAAGAACAATCTCTTCGCAGAGGTCCCCCTTTTTGATGTGAAAAAGTCTCTAAATTCACTGGTCCCTGTTGACCATGATCTAGCTCCCGTTCTTCTCTGAGCATCAACAAACAAATGCTTGAGGAAAGAGAGCGGTCGATCCAGATTGCGGTTAGAATTCAGAACCGAGGCGACGCCTCAGCTCGGTTCTGAAATTCACTGCTGGGCGCAACCCATTTGAGGCGCCTCTCTCGCATATGCCGAGAGATGGGTTTTACATACGAATTCCATCTGGAGAGGTTTGATATTCGGAGATGGAATTCTTGGTTGGAAACGCTATACTCGATTTCCGTCCCGAGCGCGATATTGCTCAGGTACGTCACTGCTCGCAGTCCGTGCTGTGCCCACGGGGAGTGAGTTCAGCACACTCTTGCGCTCGAATGAGGTTATTCCGATAAAGGCGGGAGACTGCTCCGCTTCCGAATCTGAATCGCACTTTAAGCCGTTTTTGAAAGAGTAACGCGAGAGGTGTCTGACAAGTAAAGCTTTCTTCACCGACCCACCAATGAGAAGAATTCTATCGGAGTGCTTAGCCGATATATCAGTCCAGGCTCGATATTCCACGGAAGCCCGCACAGTCTCCGGTGCCCACAAATCGAAACGAGCGGGTTCCGCCTGAGATAGCGCCCATCCTCGAAGATAGTGCATCCGGGTCGAGAACGAGGGCTCAATCGGTGCCCAGTACACGAGACGCTGACCGGGAAGCAGGAAATCAGCGAAGGGAGCCCAATCCACGGTGAGCCGACAGTTTTCCCTATCGTTTCGAAATTAATTGGAAGCCATGTCTCGAGGCATTTTCGATTTTCTGGGATAATTCTACGACGTCTAGGAAGAGCGTCCTTCGAAATGCTCCTGGTGAGAGACATTTGCTTTTCCTCAGCCGACCGCAGTCTTGCGAAACGCTTCCGACTTGATCGAGCTCCTCAAGTCGATT